CCACTCTTCGTTTCGTCCCCTCAAGGCGGCGAGGCGGAGAAGACGCGAGGCCGTTCCCTCTTCTTCTCGGAGAAATAAGACGTAGACATATCTGTCAAATGCACCTCATTTCCTCTTTTTTTTTTTATATACGGTCATCCTTTCGAGATATTGCTTCATGAGTGATGGTTTGGTGTTTGTAGCATCCCGTTGCTAGTTTTGCCGCCGTGTTTTGTAGAATCCAGATTTTGGTTCAACATCCCTTTAACCTCTGCGGTCAAGACATACAGTTTCGAAGATATCTTACCCAGAAGACGGACGAAGTCACGCTCTACCACCGCCTCAGACCCGGCAGCAGCGTCGTGTGTAGATACCTCCTTCTCCGACGAAGATTCCTCGTCACGGCCGTCATCGTCATGGTTGAGCAGAACCGTCGACGAATTCCGACGGCGCCTGATTCAATCCGAGCACTTGTAGATGTTCCTACCACTCTGCATAAGCATGTCATTTTCATCCTGACCCACGCCGATGCAGTTGCAATGGAAGCGTCAATTGCAAGAAACCGAGCAACATAGAAGCTGCTGCTTGCTGTAGAATCGAGCGGAACACGTGCCGCAGATGTCTGTCGGCATCGCTATTATTCGCCAGAATAATTTTTAATTACAGTGGCAGATAACCCTCGGGTGTTTCCTTTATGATTATCGGTCTCCGCTATTTCCTAAAATAAATTATTATTTTTAGAATAAATAAATAAATAAGTAAATAAATAAATAAATAAATATATATATATATATATATATATATCAGGGTGTCGAACCGGAACCGAACCGAACCGAAAACCGGAACCGAACCGGTATTTTTTTCGGAACTGAACCCGAACCCGAACCGTTATATTGTTATCGCGATGAACCCGAACCGGAACTGAACCGGAAAAAAAAAACGGTTACCGGCTCATGTCAAAACGGTTCGGCCACGCGCTGTTGACAATGAATGTGCTATCAATGCCACTTGTTTCTTAAGTGCCGTCAACTGACCCACACCTCGCTTACATATTTTTCTTCTCCACTCAGCCTTAGGAATATAAACGCTGCATCCATGAATCTTGCCATAGGAACCAGTAATGCGCTGGTCGCGGCTTGCACGGAAGAAAAAGAATTAAAAGGCTGTGCAAAAAAAAAAAAAAAAAAATCGCGTCACGGGATTTCATTTTCTTACAATCTCGTAAATCCTAAATGCTGCTGTGTGCTCATTTCATAACACGTTTCTAGAACGTGCGAGTTCTTGAAGCTTGCTTCCATCGGAATGAGAAAAGAAAGGGCTGTAATAATTGTGATAATCCACGACTGATGATGTTACACCTGATCCTGCGGGCCGTTTTGGTAACCAAGTTGAAACTGTATAATTATATGTAATGGTGGATTTCTTTAAAGCTCGGTAGCACTGTAACCAACTTAATACCAAGTTTGGTTTTTATCAACATTGCGTTATTGTTGTTATTGTATAGCTAATGTTTTCCCAGTCAGATGTACGTTGTCTATAACGGATTGAAAGGGATATTTCATTCTGAATGATCCTTTCGTGGTTAACGATTTGAGTGAATAAATACACAACTTCGTTTCAAACTTCCGTTTCTGTGGTAATCTTTCCAGGAGACCGTTTGTTTTGTACCGTTTTCGGTGCGCCCTCCGGAATTTGGGATTCATTCTCCTGCGCATTCCTTGCGTTTCTAATTTTACGACTTTGCCTAAACTGCAAAATTTTTGCGCAGTAGAGAACTAAAGCGGGAAATGGAAAATTTCCCGGGTCGTCCTACGCTTTGTGGTATCCTTAACCTTTTTTGTAGTTGCAGACTAGTGCTTATTTTGATTGCTGCAGAAGCTGTTGAAGGGGCCACGAAAACAAAAACAAGCTGGTATTTGAAAAAAAAAACTGCTTTATACCAGTAACAATGATACCAATTTTAACGCCACTTAAATACAATTATGTATTTATTTTTAAAAAAAGATCAATCAGTGGCAAGTTCTTTTTTTTTTGCGAGAGAATAACCTACGTCATAAAGCAGCACCTCATAGTAACCACGTGGTCACTGGAACAGAAGTGGTTACCTTCTCCCGCATCCCTTTAGACGTCCAGGTAATATAGTGTGCGGTGTAGTTAGTTTTGTGCGAGTGGCGGCCGCTGACGAAAGCCAGCACCCCGATGCATCCGGTTTCCTATAGGCACTTAGAAGCTAACATATTTGTGAGACAGCGAACTCTTCTATTTTAATATTTATCCTATTACGTCCTTCTGGCGTTGCGTTCGGTGAAGTGTTTTTCATATTCCGTATCTTGTTTAATGAAAACTTCTTTAAGGGTCTAATTTGAGTTACCGAAGGCTAGTTCAAATAAAGAAAGCTGTATTTTCTCCCCACTGTTCCTTCAATTGCTTACACGCCGAGGTGGCGGGATAGTTAGCGAGTTCTACTTGTAAGTGGGTTTGTAAGGAGGTCGCAGATTTTACAGCTACTGCGTCGGACCCAATTAGATGAAGTCCGAATGCGTAAACGTCGGTGGGTAACCTTTGAGTGCCCATAAAGAAACCATTCCTGGTAGAAATCCCTGAGCCTTACACTACGATGTATCCCGTTTCGTATGTGCTGATTTTGATGTTTTATTTGTAATTTATTTTGATGTTGCAATTTGTCATTTATAATTTCCGAACCGGTTCGCGAACCGGTTCAGCGCCCCGAACCGGTTCGCGAACCGGTTCGCGGATCGAATTAATCGAACCGGAACTGAACCGGCACAAAATAAATTTACCTGAACCTGAACCGTAACCGAACCCGCATTTTTTTCGGTTCGACACACTGATATATATATATATATATCAGGGTGTCGAACCGGAACCGAACCGAACCGAAAACCGGAACCGAACCGGTATTTTTTCCGGAACTGAACCCGAACCGTTATATTGTTATCGCGGTGAACCCGAACCGGAACTGAACCGGAAAAAAAAATAACGGTTACCGGCTCATGTCAAAACGGTTCGGCCACGCGCTGTTGACAATGAATGTGCTATCAATGCCATTTGTTTTTTAAGTGCCGTCAACTGACACACACCTCGCTTACATATTTTTCTTCTCCACTCAGTCTTAGGAATATGAACGCTGCATCCATGAATCTTGACAAACGCTGCATCCATGAATCTTGACATAGGAACCAGTATTGCGCTGGTCGCGGCTTGCACGGAAGAAAAAGAATTGAAAAACTGTGCAAAAAAAAAAAAAAATCGCGACACGGGATTTAATTTTCCTACAATCTCGTAAATCCTAAATGCTGCTGTGTGCTCATTTCATAACACGTTTCTAGAACGCGCGAGTTCTTGAAGCTTGCTTCCATCGGAATGAAAAAAGAAAAGGCTGTGGAGTTTGAAAATAATGCATCCGGTTTCGTATAGGCACTTAGAAGCTAACATATTTGTGAGACAGCGAACTCTTCTATTTTAATATTTATCCTATTACGTCCTTCTGGCGTTGCGTTCGGTGAAGTGTTTTTCATATTCCGTATCTTGTTTAATGAAAACTTCTTTAAGGGTCTAATTTGAGTTACCGAAGGCTAGTTCAAATAAAGAAAGCTATATTTTCTCCCCACTGTTCCTTCAATTGCTTACACGCCGAGGTGGCGGGATAGTTAGCGAGTTCTACTTGTAAGTGGGTTTGTAAGGAGGTCGCAGATTTTACAGCTACTGCGCCGGACCCAATTAGATGAAGTCCGAATGCGTAAACGTCGGTGGGTAACCTTTGAGTGCCCATAAAGAAACCATTCCTGGTAGAAATCCCTGAGCCTTACACTACGATGTATCCCATTTCGTATGTGCTGATTTCAGATGTTTTATTTGTAATTTATTTTGATGTTGCAATTTGTCATTTATAATTTCCGAACCGGTTCGCGAACTGGTTCAGCGCCCCGAACCGGTTCGCGGATCGAAATAATCGAACCGGAACTGAACCGGAACAAAATAAATTTACCTGAACCTGAACCGTAACCGAACCCGTATTTTTTTTTTGGTTCGACACACTGATATATATATATATATATATATATATATATATATATATATATATATATATATATATATATATATATATATATATATATATATATATATATATAAATATATATATATATATATTTATTTATATATATATTTATTTATATAAAGAAAAGAGCAAAAAAATAGCAACGAAACTGATTTGAAAAGTTTCTCACTTTTATTGTCTTCAGTCGATATTCTACAACTGCAGACTGTAATTTTTTTTAAACAATGTAGAATCAGTTTTTTTTTTTTTTTCACTGTATGCATTGAAGTTGTATATTAGGATGAACAATATTCCACTGAATCTGACAAACGGTATTTGCTAAAGTTTGCCAGTCTCAGGCATCTGAACTATTTAAGATTACTTAGGAACCTTGTTACCTGTGTAAAACTCCCAATTCGAGCTTTTTGGACGCTATAAATCTACTGTACACAGCAAATGTTTATAGTGATCAATCAATCAATCAGTGTTTATTAAAGTTTCCAGGAACAACCAATCGAACTTAGTGCTGGCACACCTAAAAAAGAAACGAGAAAAAGCACACACAAACACACGAATGCAGAAGGGGAACGCAATTCACCAGTCTGAGAATAAAAATATTAACAAGTACAAAAGACACTCAAATCAACCAGGGAGATAAAAAACACAAAAAAAAGACATCCCCAAGTGTGAGGGCAAAAAGCAAATGCTGAGATATCGTACTACAAACATCGACCCTTCAACTGATCAGCCCTTTTCTTGCAAGAGAAAGTTTCGAACAGCGTTTCCGAACTTGCTCCCGCATGAGTTAAAAGTATCAATCGTATCAAAGTAGCGGTTATAACACTCAGCCGATCTTTGGATCGGGTTTAAGTGGCTAAAATGTCGAGCTATATAAAAAGATAATTCAAGTCGTGTAAGCACACGTGGAACCCTAAGTATTTATAATGATAAACAAATATTCTTATTCAAATGAAAAATAAAATTGGGGTTTGGATAATGTTGCCCGAAATATGAATAATATTTCAAAGCGGCTATTGAAATGCAGTCCTGTCTCATTAATATATGGATAGAATTTCGGGGGGCGGTTTCTAGGCTAGGTGGGCCAAGCTACCACCCGTTATACAAGATACAGATATATATACAGCCATTAGCATCCATCCCTAAATACATACATGAATTTTAATGAATTAGTGCCCTGGTACATGAGCTAGCCTTGGGCTGGTTTGGAGCACACGTATCCAAAGTTGACAACGTCACCACGGGATGGTGCCACAGCCACACAGGTGGTGGAAACTGGCTAGGAAACACCTACCGCAAGCGCCAACAGATGGCGGTGGAATGCAGATTTCGAGAAATTTCGAGTCCCTGAGATCTTCCGGTTCATAAAAAGTATGAATGTTTTCTTATTCCCTCCGTCGACCGCACGTTAGGCTTAGAGTTCAGTAGTGACAAATCAGCGATCATTGTATTTAATGACGTCGAAATTGCGGAGTTAAGTTTCAAAGAATAAAGATTGAGCGAGTCGATAAATAGTATCTAGGAGTATAGAATAACGAGGGAATAGAATACCTCAATGAACATGCAAAATATGTAACTAGTAAGGGAAATAGAAATGCAGCTGTAATGAAAAATAGAGCACTGTCGAACTAGAACAGGTATGATGTGGTGAGGGAGATCTGGAAAGTAGTAATGATTATAATAATAATAATAATAATATTATTATTATTATTATTAATCTTTAGTAGCACAAAAAGTGAACTGTGTCTTGGGGGTCCTGGTTCCGAGCCTGACTTTTGCAAATGCCAGTAATGTTCATAAAACTGGACTTCCAGACAAGGCAAGAACTAAAGCAACGGAGTGAGGTAGATTAGCTCTCAGGAGCGTACGTTAAAACACATGGTGGTGTACAGGGCGTTATGGGGTGGTCCTTATTCGAGGGCAGGGAAGGTAGCAGTAAGATCAAATTTGAGGATAGGCTAAGATAAATATATGCTTAACAATGGGCAGGAAGAGTTCTTAGCTATTTACAGATGAGAAGCATCGGTACAAAACGGAGAAAGCGGACTAGAAAACTTGGATATAAATATATGGGCAATAGCAGGGGCGCAGATGAGAAAATAAAGGTTAGAAGAGAGTTAAAGACACTGAGAGGGAAATATAAAAATAGAGCGTGCAGACTAAATCGGCCTTGGCAATGTGCTGATCGTGTAAGTACATTACTAAGAAGCTCATCTTCGACTATTCTTGGGGGAACTTCTTGTTCTTCGAGGCGAGGGCAGGATTATAGCGCACTAAGACATATAGAGCTAGATATCAGGGAGTAGGTACGGTGTGGAGCTTGTGGAGAGGAGGAGAATGGGGCTCAGGAGACGACTAATTTAACAAACGCACTTGGATTTAGGCAAAGGGATGAAAAACTAAACATGGAAAAGGTGTATATAACCAAGAAGAAATTGTGTGACTGGTGGCATAGGTCGAGGAAAGGATGAATATTTTCTTATTTCCTTTGGGGCGACCCATAGGGCGGAAGTATTGGGCACCCGGTTGCATAGAGGCGCCTCCGTCGTACGGATCGTATGTGTCTTTTAAGAGCCAATCTCTAGATATTTATCTCAATGTTAAATAAATGGTAAGAAAAAAACACTCCATAGGGGGCGCCGGTCGCCGCCATATTAAAAGGGTTCAGCCTCATCCATTCATCCTTCCATCCATACGAGAATCTATGGAATAGGACACGTAGCATCCGAAGATCACCGGCGACGTCCCTCTTCGCGAATTTCGGTGCCGCGCAGTGGGGGACGGCGGGCTCTTGGACTGTTGAAACCTGCTCAGCGCGATTCGCCACTTATGTTTTGCGCTTTTGCATTCGAAGTTTTCCGGCCTCTCTTAAAAGTTTCCACTTGATTTTTCTTATGCATGCTGGATATTTTTTTCGTGTTATCTTCCACTTTTAGAAAAAGGACTGGTAGCTTCCTGTCGTTCTAGCGTTCCTGCTGAACATTCATAGGACGCAAAGGAGGGGAAAAACGTCGAACGGCCCTCGACGCGATTTAGCGAAAAATGGCAACTGTTCTCCCTTTTCCCAGTGATGATCCGCGTGAGTCCTCCCAGTCATAGCCAAACATTGTTGTTCGGGTTGGTGTGGGGAGTGGGTGAGTCGCGTTCATCCCTTAGCCTTGGTGCTGGTGCGAAAAAAGGAAACTCTCCCAAAAACGTGCACCAAAACGCTCTTGGACTCCGTCCGATCGTCATGATGTGACTGTCGTCGCTACTGTAGCGCTGTGCTTTTGTAGACATTTCTCAAATAAAGTCTTTTCGGATAACGTCTGAGTTCTGTCCAGCGGTAACCATGCTATTTGTGCGCGTGAAATATGCAAGTCTTTCGGCTGCCTTCTGTTGTAAATTATTTTCGAGAGCTAAGCGCTTTGTCAACTAACACGCGGCTGAGCGGGCGGCGCCGTCGAAACATATCGTAAAATAAAGCAAACATTCCGGTCGATCTTGTCCTGTCGTACGCGTACCCAACAAACTTAGTTTACAGTTTATTTTGCTTCTTTTTGCTTGTTTCAAATGTGGTAGAATGCTTTCTCAATTTCCTCAAGAAAATACATACACCATAAATCGCAAGAAACAGAGGACAAAGCCGAAAATGTAGCCGCCAGCAATGCTTGAAATTGCTCCTACGCCGGTTGCACCTATCGAACCACAGTCTACTCGGTTAGGGTTAGCAGGCAAATCGGTGAACCTCAAACTTAAAGACTGGGCTCGAATTTAGTTGCGAGTCAGCGCTCCGTCTGTGTCCTCCTTCATCCAGTCCGTCGTTTTGTTTTGCGCTGTTTTAATCTTTTAAGGAATGTAAAAATTCAAGACGTTTGCACATTTCTGTAACGCGAACTTAGACCGCAGCTCATGGGGAGGACAGGGGAGGGTACGCCCCTCCTGCTCCTCCCCTCCTCCTCGCCTTCTCCCGTCCTCCTCTGCTCCTCGCCCTCGCGTCATTTCCTCCTCCCCTCCTCCTCCCCCTCCTCCTCTCACTCCTCCTTTCCTCCCTAGCTTTCCCTCCTCATTAGCACGTGACGCCAATTTCCTCGCTAAATCTATCGGAGAAACTGAATTTGTTCATAGCACCAAGTCATGTGACGTCATTTTCCCCACTAAATTTAGCGGGGAAAGTGAATTGGTGTTCAGGTCCCGTGACGTCAATTTTCTCGCTACATTCAGCGGGGAATCGAATTTCTGCTGAGGTCCCGTGGCGTCAATTTTCCCGCTAAATCTAGCGGAGAAACTGAACTTGTTCATAGTCGACGTGACAACGAGTCATGTGTCGTCATTTTCCCCGCTAAATCGAGCGGGGAGACTGAATTGGTGTTGAGGTCAAGTGACGTCAATAGGGAGTTTTCGTAGATCGTTTTTGCCGTCCCGCAACGCTTTCCGCAACACGCTACGATACCCGAAACTCTACAGTGGAGGCCACAGGAGCGCGGGGGCAGTAGCGGCTTCTTCGATGCGCAGGGCTTATAGCGGAGAGGGGAACGCGGTCTACGAAAACTCCCTAATTCTCCCGCTAAATTCAACGGGGAATTGAATTGCGGTTGAGGTCACTTGACGTCAATTTTCCCGCTAAATTTAGTGTGGTTACGCCGACGCTGCGAAACCCAGAAACGGGCGCCTAAAAGCTGCGCCCTAACATATAGAGCCCTCGGGACTACGTACCCTGGTACCGTAACCAATACTTCAAAGTAGAATCTTCATGAGCAAACCGGTCTCAAAGTAGAGATGGTTCGGCCGTTTCTACGCTCGCATTCGTTTATCTTTTGAATTTTGAGCACCCGCGCCTCTACAGGGAACGTTTTGAGGACATTTCAGTCTTCAGCTAAAGACGGAAAATAAATATAGAGCCCTCGAGCACATACTGGTACTCTGGCCAGGCACGTAGCCAGGATTCTGTTTCGGGGGGGAGAGGGAGGCGGGGGCGGTGCGGGTGTTCGCCCCCCACAACAAATTGCTGTATGAGGGGAGGGGGAGAGCAGGCCCCAACAGAATAGAAGATTTCGGGGGGGGGGGGGGGGGGGGGGGTATGGAGAATCCCCTAAAATGAGCCATTTTTAAGAAACCTTGTATTGAAGGACACATGGTTTGACTGTTTTCTGGCATTCGTGCATCATTTCAAACTTGGAGACTTGCGCCTTGTCCGGGGACGTTTTGAGGTCAGCCGTGTTTTCAACTGATGAAGAAATACAAATTTTAGGGACGCCAAATACAAGCCGGTGCCATTTTAAAATCTTGGGCTTCGGCCCCCTTTGACGAATGCGATAGCAAGTCGGATATTTCAATACGCTCTTTTCTAGATTCTTTTTTTTTTTTTACTTTTGCCGTTTGTGTTTAGGGCGATTGGGATAATTAATTTAATGTAAACATTTAGTACGTGATTAATTATTAGTTTTGACATGTGAATATTCATTTCACAAGAGCAATCATCCGGTCATACATTGGGTACTCACCGCAGTGCTTCCACACGCTACAATAAAAATCACTTTGTTGTTATCACATAACATGAAGAAGAAGCGAGAATAACTTTAAAACTTTCTTGTTTGTAATTTTAGATCAACGTAAAAAAAAAAAAAAACAGCTGTTTTTGTTTTGCTAGTTAATCGATGTCAGTAGCAGAATGCTGAAAATGATCGTAAACGTCTGAACGAGAACGAATCCACCTTATTTTGCAAATTGATCTCAAGAACCCAAGAAACAAATTTTGAGAGGAAAAAATGAAACAAAATATAACCAACACATTATCAATTACTTTGGTTTACTGTATATTGTGCTCGTTTGAACTTTGCTGTTTCTTAAAAAGTGTCGCGAGGTGCCTGCGAAATATATTTTTGTACAGTTGTAATACACATTTTAGAGGCTAAAAATTCGCCAAAATGTTGGGGAGGGATTCTAATTATGTTTCTAAAATAACGACGAGCTTTTTATGCAGAAGTATAAAGTGTACATTTTTATCTACTTTCATACTATCCGTAGTGGCACATTGAAACGTTTATTTGACCGAGGAACTTTACACGTCATCATCTTGAAACTTCGGCACAATAGTTGCGGTATATGATAGAAAGAAATAGTAGCGTGGAAAATTGTATAAAGCGTAACATTTCGGTATTATGGTCATATATGCGGGGCTTCTATGGGAGCGCTGCCGTAACCAGCTAAGAGATGGCGCAAGCAGAGGATGCCACATATTTTTGGGGATGGACAAAGTGAGAACGGCAGGGCTCGTATTTTGAGCGCATGACCTCCAGCACGAGCTCCATGCCTTCCACCGTGCTTTGGCTGGAAGCCCGCGCTCGAGCGGCGCGAGGCGCCTAGTCGAAGATAGAAAGGGCCCGCTGGAGGTGGGTCTACCGAAGCTCCTCCCGGCCGATCTCACTCTGCCCGTCCAGCACCACCTAGAAGAAGACCTCCGCACGCGTCATCACAGTCAAATCGATCGAGGCGCGAGATTGGGCACGAGTGCTGAGTCAGTGTTCGGTTGGGGCTCGTATCCAATCAGCGCCTCGAAGGTCGGGCTCGGGCCCTATAGCCGAGTTAGCGCCATCCGACTCCGATGACTTTTTATGGAGGGAGAGGAGACCATGCGAAGGCCTTCTGTTTAGGCGGTGTAGACCCGTCACAAAGGCGCCTGGAATTCCACGGTAGAGAGTTTTCACGGATGAAGTGATGCACTGTCGTGAAGCCAAAGTTCGCGAGGGTACCATCATGAACGAGTAAACCCGCACTTGAGGCGGTTAGCTGGTGAGCAGGATCAATAATGGTGCTTGCAAGATCGAAAATTGGAGTTAATTGAGACTCGGGAATCTCAAGCTCACGCTCCTAGAAATGTATGCATAGTTAAACAATTTGTCGCATTTATAACCGTTAACGCGTCTAGAGAAAGACCGCGGCTTTGTAGTCGCCTTTTCTTTATAGATGTATATGCCCCCGTTAATGATTGCGGCCCTACGAAGGAATTCTGCTGCCATCAGCCAAGACACCGAGTCAAAACCACCAACGGGTCTGATCAGTTCCTTTAAGCCACAGTCACACATCGCAAAAAACACAGTTTACAAATGATGCTTGAGAGGTGTTTCTTTCTTGTTTAAAGGTCCTGTTACATAGGTCATAAAAAAAGTCTGTCTTTAGACATATATTTAGACTGGGAGTTGAGCTAGTGGGTTCTGATTCATAATGGGGATATATGCTAGAAAAAAGCGAGAACAAGAAGATGAGTTGCACAAATGACAGGATGGTCCTATCCTTTGTGCCACTCATATTTTTTGTCCTCGTTCTTTTGGCGTATATTCCCATTGCGTGTTTAGACAAGTTAGAAAATCATACAGGGTACCCTGGAAAGTTAGCGTGTTTTTTCACCATAAAAATAAACTCCGCATCGCCGAACGCTTTCTCCACCAAAAATGTAGCGCTAGCTGTCCGAATCAGAGGCCAAAGTTTCAGTACTAACCGTTTTTTCATTCAAAAGTCATCGGTAATTTTTTTTAAAAATCTTGCTGAAATTTAATTTACACAAAAAAGTGGACACAAAAACAGTGCATATGCCGCATAAATATGTATCGAATGCAGCGAAGGCCAAGTCCGTTATGGAGTCGCTCCAGCAGTTTCCTGAATCCAGGGCAGTTGCGTCGAGACCCTCGACAAGACAGTAGGCTGACCTGGAGCGGCACATATGGTAGCCCAGGATGTCAATCCCGCCAGCACGTAGCGGCCGTCAGACCTGGGACACTGCAGGGGTCCTCCAGAATCGCCCTGAAAATTAGTATCAACTGTGTTTGATATGGCGCGCGAACTAATGAAGGCAAGCTGAACCAATGACGTTTGACTGTGACCGTGTGCGTTGTGAGCTCTCGTAATCCCTTAACACACTCGCGCCTTGTCTCAGGTAGACATGGAACCCTTTCGAGTTGCGTATACTCCGTTCACATTATGTCTGGACGCAGCGGATGCTACGATCTATCCCAGCTAATCCCACCCAGTGGAGGTAGCCCGTGACACGCTTTCCGCGCGTCTCTGTTCCCCCTCTCCAAGGTCACGTGACCCTCAGACGGCCTTGGATTGGCTCCGATGGCTCGTAGCATCCTCTGCGCCTGGACGTAAGGTAAAACGGAGTATAAACTGAAGGTCTTGCAATATTTTACGAGATAAACTCTGCGGACTATCTATGAGAAAGGGTATAACTTTGTCAGATTTCGTCAAGGGTCACGACAAAAAGAATAAGGCCTAAAAAGTACGCAGATTAAAAGTATTCCGGGGTAACCCAATAGATGGCGCTGGTGTGTTGCGTCGTCGTAAGCCGTCATGAGACGTTAGCGCAGTCGGCTTCTTGAGGCTCGTTCACACAGTTGCGTCGAAGACTGAGCACAGCGCCTCCCCATTGGGTCGAAGTAAGGGTCGCCATAGCAACAGCTCGATACGCAAGCAGTCTTAAGGCGGTCAAACGCTGGTGTCTGAACCGACCTTCAAACGCAACTATTCGAAAAGGCCTAAGGAGATATCTGGAGGGTTTTGGCTCTTGCTACCCAGAAGAAAGTCATGCAAATCTCAAGGAGGATGGTGTATAAAAAGACAAGAGTAAGTGCAGTAGTCGTTGACAATTTAAGAAACGCAGGGCGTGGCGTGTCATGCGAATCTTATTGCTGCTCCTTAGCCAACGAGGTTGCAGCATTAACAGGTAAAGAGGCCAAAGAGCCAATCAAGAACGGTCAGCGTAACGAGTCACATCCCGCATTCCTTAAACGATCAGTCAATATATACCTTTTCATACAAAACAACAACAACAACAACAACAACATTGCTAGACAATTGCTATGCTGCTGCTGATGATTCTACTGCTGCGACTGTCACGACCCGTAGAATATGGGATTGGTCTGACACTTTCTTGGACTTTTGAAACCTGCTCAGTTCGAAACTCCGTCTGTGTTTTGGCATTCGGTGTTTTTAAGCATCTCTGAGAAGTTTCCGTGCAGCCTTTTTGTGCTTTCTTGCACTGTGAGAACAATAAGTTAAATCTCGTTAATTCGAACTCGGGGGGGGGGGGGGGGGGGGACCGAAAATGTATTTGAATAAAGCAAAGTTTGAATTACCGGGAATTTTCTCCCATACAGACTCATAGGACGGGGACCTGCATGTTTGTTTGAATTATCCAGAAATTTGAATTAAGAGAGTTTGAATTAACGAGATTCGACTACTTCGTTTCACCTTAGGTACAGACCCAGCCAACACTACGAGCAGATGGCACGAAATAGATAGCCTCCAAAGAGCACCATCTAACTGTTCGTCTTCCTTCTGTACGTGTTCTATCATCGCTCAATCATCATAAAGAGGAAAGACCCAGTGACTTGCAGTTTTGACGCTGCTTGATTGGTCTCATTTGCTCGTAGCGTCGGCTGCGTCTGGACTTAACGTGCCACCAAGTATCGGGCATGGCATCGAACTATAGGGGGTGCTTTATCGAGCTTGTTTTCTCCACAGCCCGGTGTTTACTGACACAGCATAACAAAGAAATTAAACCTCGTCATGCACGGTCTGGGCACGCGCGCTTCGCTCTTGCCAGCGCTTTGCATGGTCGCACGAGGAGTGGCCTTCGAATCGTCATCTCCGATATCGCTGATCATACACAAGCAAGAAAATTCGGTTTTTGCCCCAACAGCTGAAGTGTGCCGCCAGAGGCCTGACTGTTCGATCTCCTCCCTAATAGGGCTGGTAGCCTTAAAGGAACACTAACACATTGCAGAAGATTTTTTTTCTTCCTTTTACCAGGCGTTTTAATAGGGTGTCAGATGACTACCCAATCAGTATTTTTCTGCGGAGCCACGTATATCTTTAATAAAGTAAAAAAAAGGGAGAGACGTTTACTTCTTCTTGTAACGCCGATTTAGAGCGCAGCTTTTGAGGAGGAGGAAGGGAGGGTACTGTGGAGAGGGTAGGCCCTCCTCCTCATTCGTACCCTGAACTTGTCTCCTCGTGCTTCTTTCACGCGCGAAACGCGCCTCGTCACGCGACGTTTCGGAGCGGTGCCGAAACGTTTGGTGAAGTTACGTGACGTTTCGGCACGTGACTTCCACCGAAACGTCACGGTGACGTTTCGGCACGGTGACGTCACTCGCGCCAAAACGCGATACGACGTTTCGGCGTGATGCCGAAACGTCACCGAGGTGCATTATGGGACGTTTTCCCGCACGGCTACGCCGACGACGCTCAAGCCGGAAGCGGGCGCCTAAAACCGCAACTGGATTAAGCCGCATCCAAAACATGAGCAGGGAGTTATTGGCCGCGACATGTGGACCAACACCACCTAGGTAACAGAGTCGCAGTGCTGATAGAAATGTCGCCATCAGCGAAGGCCAACGCTGTTTCAACGACTGCACACGACGACTGAATCAAAGTTCGGCTCAAACTTGACTAAAGCCAAGTACTGAAGCACTACTCGTTTCCAATTTGTGTCCTGCGTCGGCCTACGTTTCCCAGGCAGAAATGTCAGCCGTATACAGTCTTGTCTTCTATACTTTGTTTCACCTAAAATCCAGACACAGCCGACACTACGAGGTAATAGGACCAACCAAGATGCGTCAAAAACGCACGTCACTGCGACTATTCTGTTTATGATTGGTTCAGCGATGTTGAAACACGTAAAAGAACATATCGAATATCATGATGGTCCGCTTTTTACGCTGCCTAATTGGACCTATCAGCTTGTAGCGACGGTTGCGTCTGAACCAAAGGTGAAACTAAGTACAGGCGGTGTTATGTGGACTGGGTAGAACGAGGAAATGTAAAGGAGGAAAGAGTTGTCGGAAGTCACGTGGCAATACACGACCGCGCTTTATTTTCCTTCGTGTTTTCGGCAATGCGAAGCCGAAGAAAAACGCTCAAACGTCAAGCACTTTGTGCTTGACATTACGTGTTCTGCTGTTCGGCTATCTTGAGTTGTAAATTATTTTCAACAGTTAAGACCCGTTCACACACTTGGAACTGAGTAGGACCAACAGAGACAAGCCAGGTTTTAAGCCTTTAGCGACGGCGTAGGACCGGATGCGCTGTTGCGGAGCAGGACCTAAGCCGTCGCAAGAGGAATAAACCCGGTCTTGTCTCAGTCGGTCCTACTCGGTTGCAAGTATGTGAACGGGCCTTTAAGCGCTTTGTCGATTGATACGACTTAGAAGGTGGCGCCTTATCAAATAAAATAAAACAAACATTCTAATCACGTATATTCTGTAGTGCACGTACTAAACAAAATAGCTTTTAATTTGAAATGTGTTTCTCAGTGGCATCGGGAAAGTATATAAACAATGCAACGTCCAAACAACGGAAAAATACGAGCATTTACCCTACAGCAGTGACCGAAATTGTGCCTAGGCAGGCTATATGCTTAGCGAAATCAACAGTCTACTAGGTTAGGGTTAGCGGGGATGCCCGTGGGAGAGCGCGAGAGTGGGACACCGGTGCGTGAGTGTGTGCGATTGAAAAAAGGTTCTCTTGCCCCTGGGGCCAAGTGTTTTTTAGAAAGGTGTATAGCTGGTGTTGATCTAAATCTTATGCACTTTCGCTACAAAACAGCGGACAAAAATGGTGCTCAATCTTTTCAGGTTTAGCTCGGCATGGTTCTGTCATCAGGATTGCCAGGACCTCAAAGCTCTTGCACATGCTACTGCGTCTCTGATGTCGACACAGGTTTGCCAGGACCTCGAATATCTTGCACATGCTAGTACGTCTCCGATGTCGATGCTTTGTAAGCTGAGTAACATTCAGGGCACTGAAGCTTATATTGTCCAGGGCCTGGGTTTTGTAAACAGCTACTGAATTCGGTATTGAACGGTCTTTATAACCGGTAAAACGTTTAACCTTTTTCATCTGGGTTACCTCATTTGTTATGCGCATTTCAATGACTTTCTCAACTATTTGTCAACGAAAGTGCGTGATAACCAAACATAATTAAAAAAAAAAAAAAAACTGAAATAATAAAACTTGCGTCGATCGACGAAGATAAGCTTGGTGGCTTTAGTGCGTAACGACTCGAAACATATTCGACAACTTGATAACGAAACGAACAGCTCATTCATATTTGCTTGCTGAGGGTGTTTCTACACGCTTAGCCTCACAGAGTTCTCTGAGACTGCTTATATGAGCACATTACGCGACCACGATGTGGTGCGGAAAATGTTCGCGCAATGTGAAATTGCACTTTTTTTTCAAAAGGAACAGTGAAAAGGGGCAAAGGCGCAGCTGGCTTATTCGGAAAGGTGCGCGGCGAGGTGACTGATGCGTTCTTTGAAAATAAACTGTCTGCCCAGCTTAAAGGCGGGCGCTCAAAATTTTCTTCAGCGTGGCAGAAGATTCCCCCTCTTTTCTTTTTTTCCTCCTCCCCTTTCCTCCTCCATTTTCCTCTTCGCTTTTTACGGCCTTCTCGCACGAGTGCAAATGGGCTTACCGGCCCCCCGACAAAATCTCTGTAACCCTTGAAGGTTCTCTGCTTCAATCCCAAACACCAGGGATTAGTTAGGCAGGCTGGATATGAGCTCGGAAGGGTTCGGGGTGGCTCGCTTTTCTTTTTTTTTTCTTTTTTTTTTCTCTTTTTCTGCAGTTCTAAAAAAACACTCAGATAGTCAACACCAACTAGCCCAACAACAAGTTCTTTTACATTCAGATACTTCCGCAAGCGGCCACACACGCTACAACACCGCATATTTATCTCGAGTGAACGGAACTTGAACATCACAGCAGAAGGAAAAACGATGGGTATTTTTATCCGA